ATCTTTTACCTGGTAAAAATGACTGGAATGCTTTCGTCATGGTTTGTGACAAGATTCCCAACTCCGCCTTGAGCGTTTTGTTACGGTTACGTTGCTTAGGACCCGCCAAGTTAGATGGGAGGGGGGGGGGGTGACTTCACAGCAGGCGGTAGAAAAACCAGAGGGAGTGGGTTAAAAATTATACAAATTTTCCAGATGTTTTCCTATCCAATGTTGTTCCCTGATGGCGTGGATATAAAATGGTGCCAGTTCAGTTCAACCATCCCCCGTTAACGAGTTTCAAAATTCCTTTACCGTTAGGTACATCACGCTGCCGCGCTGGCGGGAAAAAAGTTCCCACGCATTCATGATACATAGGAAGATGGTGATCATCTGGGTCAACTGGCGAGCTTATAATTGGGAAGTTTATAAAAAACACGTTGACATGAATGTTTGAAGCCCCGTTTCTCGATAATCCACCCTTAAAAGGCACAGATGTCAAATGTGACATTTTAACTACACCACGCTTACGCATAGCCACTGTGACGTCACCGTGGCGGTCAAATTTTCCTACTGAACTTCCCTGTTAGTAAAGGAATCTCGAGTTCAATCACACATAACATTAGACAAGACTTTTAAATACCGAATAAAGCAACACTTGCGGCAGCTTCGCTGTACATATCCGGGAATATCTCCTTCATCTCCTCGCCAGTCTTCCGGTTTCGGTTGCTCGTGAGGCATATCCGCCGAACCTCGAAGGAATCTTTGAGAACAGATGTCTTGTGAGTGACATCGGTGTGCTTTAGCTTGGCACTGAACTTGGCGGTTTCGGTGCAGATGTCTAGCTTCGACTTCTTCGTTTTGGGAAACATCCCCGGCATCCCCTCTTCAGCTGCCGCACGCTTTTTCACATCGATGCCCCTGGCTCGTCTTTCCGTGTCGATGACGGCGTTGCTCAATGCTCAGTGGCTTTCGACAGTTCTTGAATCTGTTCCGAAGTTTCTGTCGGAAGCTGTTCTTCCGCAGAGTCACCTTTGAGAAAGAAAAGAACCGTTTTTTTTTAATTTCATGGACAGCTTTATCAGGCAGTGAACAGTGAACAAGATATAAATACGTTCATTAAACGTGTTTTCTTCTATCGTGATATTGGGAGGATAGAAACAACAAAAAGTAGATGTCCGGATATGACCGTTTTAACAATTTGTTTTGTTTGTTTGTAACAACAATTTGTCAATTTGTTTTGACAATTTCTCTTCCAGAATTTCATCATCGCGGAAATCTTCGTCCGCAAATCTACGTCAACGCATTTCTTGGATTGTATGGTCATACTACGGATTACTGTTAGGAGTCATACTAACAAAACACAAAGTATACAGTAATTTCAGCTTACCTTCGAGGACTGGGACGCTTGCTCGGTTCTCTGACAGAAGGCCTTGGTTCTGACGACTTGAGCACAATGGCGGTCGCGAATGGTCACGAACTGAAGAGACGTTCCGAAAATATTATTCTTGGAATAATACTGTGCTGGACGAATAGATTAATCACTTTTAGATTAGTTATGTCACGACGGAATAGGAATATCAAGAAAGTGATACAGTATTGCTTGAAATACGCTCCCGAATACTCCCGAAGAATAATGTTAGTAATGCTACCACATAATATTACTCCATGGTTATAAAATTATTGTCCGGACATGATAGTTTTATCACGAAGGAAGTAATTTTTACACCTACATGAGAATAGTTTTATTCTGTCGCGTCAATTTATCAGCCGTAATGGAGTATAAAAATTACCCTAATTACTCCACAGCGGTTTATTTTTATGCAGTTTTGATAAAAGTACTCTAGCTGTCAATTTTATTACCATCTAATGGGAGTTCAGCACAAATATATTCCAATGACCTTGTTTATCACTGTGAACTAAGCTAAAATCACCCCATGCCTCTTTGAGACTGATATAAATTTATAACCCGAAAGAATAAAAAGGACACGTGATAAAATTAGAAGATAAAATTACCACTTACTAAAACACAAAAGAGATGATTATAGTACCAGGTTTAAGAATAACTTTCAAAAACGCCCTTAATGCAATGCAGAGAGTAAGAATACGCTACAAAACATAATCATTATATGCCATTGGTGCGTGATTATTCGCCAAACTGGAGTGGAAAAACTCCAAAAATAACTCTCTAGGTGTAAGTTTTTTTCAGTGCGGGATAGGGCGACGCTGGGCTGTTCAGGACGTTTTTGATTTATCTCACAGACACTTTAGCTTCTAGAATTTATCAAATCATGGTTGTCTGTTGTTTCATGCTACTTTTATGATTGATATTTACGTGTTACTATTTTCGGTCAGTGAAATAAATTATTTTTAGTCAAGGCTATCGTTTGTAGGTGAGCTTTCTTACTTCACTGTCCCAAAGACACAACGAAAAGGTAAAAACAGCCACATCGGCATAAGCTCAGAGCCCTGAGGTCGCTGCTCAGTGCTCAACTAAGAGGATTAATTATCCCATGTAAATCCCCAAGTTATGATATGGCTGAGCTAATGGCCCGCTTTACGCAGCTCAGGCTTCCAACATATCCTCATCTGGGAGGCACAGAAACCTACCAATCTGGGGAAATACGCTACAGTTGCCATAGCATCATGCTTCCCTCGAGAACGGGGAGCTAATCAGATTATGGCGACCTTTGAATGACGAAATGCAGCTGCTCAAAACGCAAACAATATTCCTGCAAACAATGTAATGAATTACGAATCTGATTTGAGCTTAGACCGAGTGTTTGCACTCGCTTCCAACCAAACGTTAAAGCAAGAAACACATTTCCAATCTACACCAGTCGCATTCAACGAACACAACATTGAACATTGGCCAAATGAAAACACCGCCCCGCAAAGCTGCAATATAAACATTTCTCTCGACTAAAACCGCCACTTGACGGCACAAGCCTCAATTATCAGAGAGCACTGACGGCCGGCTCACTCAGAATCTCCGCTGATCCGACGGGAGCTCTGCACCAAAATTCATCTGCCGGAGTCGCTCGCCCGTCGGCGGGGTCGGCGATCAGCCCCCGCGGGACGGGACCGGCCACAGCGGGCGACTTCCCAGTTCCGGGGCCGTCCTTAGCTCCAGGACTGGAGCAGCAGCTTCAGGCCGTGGCTGTCCTTAGCTTCAGGACTGAAGTACATAGGAGCGTGATCAGAGGCGCGCTCAACAGGATACCTCTTATAAAAAGGTGCTGAAATATTAGGAAATAATGGAATCTGTTTATCATCCGCTTTAGGGCGCAGAGTTTCTTTTTATTGAGAACCAATGCTCGATAGCCATACGGTGTAGCCTGTAGGTATTATGTGTATGTACCTGCCTGCAGGTACCTGCAGGTACACATAACCAGCTTGTGTAATAACACAAAGTCACATCTTCATACAGGTTCCCTTCTATTCCATTTCTACGTAACTATTGTAACCGTTTCCCGATCTATTGCTGCCCGTTTAGACGACACAACATCAGTCGACAGAAGATCACAGACGACAGATGCACGAGCAAACAAAACCCTGCACACTTTGATCTCAGTCCCATGTTGGGGTACGAGACGACTGCCGAGACACGTGCGGCCCAGCACGGCCCAGCACAGCCTGGTGTCTTCTGTCGCCCTGCTGTCCTCTGCTGGACTGTTCCTCGCCAGGCGCGCGCACTGGCGAGTGGAGGCCCATTCCGGCATTTGCTGCTTTAGCACAGAAAGCACCAAATAGAGAGCGGCCTCTAAGCCCTCTGAGATAGGCTTGTAAGGCCAGTATTCTGTTTGAAGTTTAAACAGAATACAAGCCGTTTGTATTTTGCACGAAGTTTTGGCTGCAACTGTGAAGGAGAGGACAGGACGGGTCAGGAGGATAAACGAACATTTCGCACGTTTTGACCACTGGATAGAGGCAAACATTGTGACCGTGCCGGATAATTATACATAAATGACCAGATGGTACGAGATCAGTAGCTACTCTTATCCTCACTCCACCCTAGGTGTTACGTTGGCGATGTGTATTTTTCCGGATCGACCTATACACTGTCGACTCAGGTGCCCTTTACGGCCTCATGTCACTGACATCACACGCGCTTAGTCACAGACGTGCCGTCAGCTGATGTAACGCCACCGTCCCAGGAGCTCCTTCCATAGCATCGGCACGAGACATACCGGAATACAAACGGCGTCTAACACAACTGCCCGGTAAGGAGCCACTGGCCAAGGCCCACTGGCCGCCGTCCTGCTAGCCCAATATTCAGCAGGCGCTACCAAACATTTCACGGAGTTCTGCATTTGAAGCCTGAAAAGACTCTTTCCGCAGTCAGGAAATCGCATGCGAGAGCCTATTCAAATCCATTATAATTCTGCCCGCATGAATCGCATGCGGGAAGTGCGTGCGATTGATGTGAGCGTGCTTCTATGTATTTGAATAGGCTCTTGCATGTGATTTCCTGACTGCGGGAAGAGTCTGTTTCAGGCTTTACTGAATTGTTCAGCTTCTGATGCATGACAGCACACCAGCATTGATACGATGCTAGCAAATACGCTAACAGCGCGTGCAGGGCATACAAGCTTACAACAGTTAACAGTACACAACTCGCACAAATACAAACGCTGCTTGATATCGTTGGGACCGCACAAAACTGCCTTTCTTTCACACTTCTGATAATTTGATCTTAGAAAATGAAATTTCCAATGACTCTTGGACTTCGATCTAGCTCAATGCCTGGCCAACGTCCATGAATCTCAGGGTATGTTTATTACATGTTCTTGTCGCCTTATTTTACATAGGTTTAGTACAAACAGCACGGGGTTTGATTACGTCATCCAGGACCTTCACCACCTAAATAGGGCCTTAGGGATGGGACAGTGGGATGGGATAACCGTAGCTTATGACAAGGAACTCAGTAGTACGCTCTCACAGCGTCCAATGTGTGCACAATCGACCCGTGGTTAGATTTATCATAATATGTACACGTGCGAGAAAAGGCATGAAAGACATTTTGTCTGATATTTAGCATTGTAATCTATGAATATATTTTATTTTGTAACATTTTAACGGTGCGTATTTTGAGCAAATAAAGACAGTCAAATAAATGCCTAAATTAGGAATGTCATTAGATTGGCTTACACAAACAAAACAACGAGGTGAGAGATCACATCACATCGCAGAAGGTACGTACAATTAAAAGACAAAAAACACATATGACACAAGTGTACACCAAACACATTAGTGGTGCAGTACAACTGCAAAATGACACTTGGACTCCACTGCTATAGGTGGGGACGTTTTCTGTGATACGTTTCTCCTCCCAGTGTCAAGTCATTTCACGGAGTGACAGACGGTCCATATTTTGACACGGAAACCGTCACAAACTCTCTAGAATAGGTCCATGTGTAAACGTCCCCACACAGAGCCCTAATCGACCTCGACTGACGGTCCGTATATGTACAGATTTCCACACTGAGTCCATATTGATCGACCGCCAGCTCACAACTCACAGCTCACAGTATGATATTCCACAGTCCACAGTTCACACCGCTGCGACTGGACCTGTGAGCGCCTCGTCCACACGGAGTCCACTCCGCGGCGGTGCACCTTCCACATCGGAGTCCACATCGGCGTCCACCTCGGAGTCCACATCGGCGTCCACGATCTTCGGCCCCAGCCTCGCATCAGCACCAGCCGCGCTCTCTCAAATCAGCGCATCCGGGCTCCTGAAGTCAGAAAACGGCACCAAATATTGTGAGGAGTCGCCAATCGTTCGCATTGTGTCACCACACGCACCTGTAGGTCACTATGTGTCGTCACTATGCGTCAGTTTGCGTCATTGTCAAACGCCATCTGCGCCTATCACGGTCGAGGCAGCAAATATTCCTCAGAACTCAACACGTTCCAAATATGGACCAAATCGCTTATCATGATATTCGCTGATTTAAGTTGTCGATTAGGGAGTCGTACTTAACCTCGAATGACCTTAGTGATATAGGGCTCTCTCCTAGCAGTGTCACCGATTCAGCTTCCTCTAAGTTCTTTTTTTTTCTGCGACACCAGTCTGTCGCGAGTTGGCCATGAGTTTGCCAAGAGTTAGTAAGGGCAACTTGGCGTCGTTTGTCCAGAGTTGGCAAAGGTCACAGCCCTGCAGCCTGGTGTTTGCTGCAGAATGCATGCCGCTGTTCGCCTATCCGTCGTCAAGTTGTAGTTTTCCCGTAAATCGCGTCTCGTCTTCCTCGCCCATCAACCGCGGTGGACCGAGTCACCCCGCCGCCTAGCGGTGACCTATCGAACTACAACTACCGGGCCTGTCACTCCCCCCGGAATACCGCGACAGTGCTCCCATCTGGTGTGCGTTTGACGGGGCGACGCCGGCGCCATCTACCGCCGACCCCGGTCACTGCACGCCGCACTGGTCGTCCGTCATCTCGGCCGGCTTGGCTTTCTTGCGCGAGGCCCTCCGAATGAGGCTCTTGCTGCGCGCCTTCTGGAAGGAGGCCGGATCGGTCTGCAAACGATAGAACACAAGAAAGGTCATTTTCACATTCATGCATTCCTTAGCAACGCAGGAAGCGAAGCGACTGAGAAAGATTGTACACTTCTTGCAAAGGCATACCGCATACATACTATTTTTAGCACTCACACCACCGAATGTTGACCTTAAGTGGCTCTCTTAGTCGCCGTTTATGTAATGTACGCTTTAAGCCCGGCACAGCCGTTCGGAAAGGTCGGCCATAATGCTATTCCGCCGACGGTGGCCGATGCCCAGGGGCTCCGACAGCACACTTTTAGACCGATGACGTCACTCGTCAGAGTTACGTCATCAACGTGACACAATATGAACTACGACATGATCAATGTTACACATTACCCATGTGCCCCATTACTAGAAACATTCACATTCAGCAACTACAATGTCTACCGTACGACGTATGTGCAATAAAAAAACGATGCACTTTTGTACATTTCGGTCTGCTCAGTGCTCCCTGGAGCTGGGAATGGAATCCATCTTTATTTCAGTCGAGATCCCTTTCCATGCTCCGTCAGAACACATGGTGTTGACGTCAGCAGGACTGGCGTGGCGCCGGAGGGCTGACGGTCCCCCTGCGGTACTGAGACCATGATGGACGGTCTCGCGGCGACCCTATCTGTGACATACACCGGCCGAAACGAGCGGCGCTTTTTATTATCCTGAAATGCTCCTCCTCTGTTTGATATTCATTGGAAGAAGCCCACATATACCCGGCACATGCCTATGGAGGCGTCGTGTTTATTTTACACCTAAAATAGTCATGCATGGGGCGTATGTCAATAGTCGCATGACGCATGTGATTGACGTCTGTTTGTCGTTTTATCATTGGGTCTTTTGTTCTGATCGGGTTCAATTTAAACCTGCACGCCATCGGCAGCCGGTAGGTATTGTTGTTTTTCGTGGTCGGCCCGCCCGACTCTATTTCGGCTGTCAATGATGTTCGCTCGCGACAAGGCTATACCAGTTCGCAGCGTATCGACCTCGGGTCACCGGCAGTCGAACTATGGGCCATCAATTCCGCAGCACGCCACGCCGGGCCCCTTCACAGGTTCGACCGCTCAGCCACAATCCCATCGATTCGCCTTAAAGGGACCCTCCCACCTTCAAAAAAGTTTATGAATTGGCATGAAAGTGATGTCACTCGGTTCAGAAAGAGCGAAAACGAATATCTACCAAATTTCACCGAAAAATATTCACCGGTTTTCAAGATATTAGACTTTTACTTTTGTTTACTTTTTTGGGATCTCCGCTGTTTCTAGCGACTTTATTTTAGAAGTGCGGCGTTTGCGGCAGATGTTGCGCGCAAATAGCATATACCACCGCGTGCTACAAAACGTTTTAGTCAAACATTAAAAAATCGTTAGATATCTGCGCTGACGTCACACATTCAGAGGGGTATTCCTAAGCATTAGCCCCTCTGAATCAAAATGCTGCAATTTTGAAATTCAATATTTCCGATTTAAGGCATTTCTCGATGTTGTGAGTGCCGAAACCGGTAATTGTGAGCCAGGGACCCCATTTTGGCTATCTCAACTCAAATCTAATGTTAAGGTGTGAGGGTCCCTTTAAGCGCCGACACAGTAGTGGCTCGGTTTGCTGTCCCGACTATCAGACCAGTTGCCGTATAGGCGCAGGATCACTGGCGGCGCAGAATAACCAGAGTTTGGCCGTAAATTCCGTGTATGAATGGCCGCACACGTGGTGTGGGCTTTGCTCGATGGCGAACCGTATCCGCGTAGGCTTTATATAGGGACATAAATAGTCGACGACTTGCCTTTTGCTAACAATGCTAAGCCAACATACGAGCATTGCCGAGCGTTAGTAGGGAAACGCAGCCAATGTCCATAACTATCCAATCAGCGAAATCATACAGGGCAACATAAAAGAAACTAAAAATAGGCCCATCAGAAACGGTCCAGAACATGTTCTGCCTACACACACAGAACACTTATGGTTTTATGTCTTTTATGGCTAGTGAGAAAATAAAATATATAAAGTAGTTTAATAGTGACCTAAAGTGAAGAGACCCGACGCAATCAACTAAACTAAAACACGGCGATATCGCAAGCGTTTTATGTAAATGTACCGATGTAATAACTTCGGCATCACTGCTACAAAAGTATCTGCTATGCAAGTTTCTACTTCCTGTAGCACCAGCCGGCAGCTGCCGCGGCGCCCGCTACCAAACTCTGCGGCTCTCGGAGGTCGGTGGGTCGGACGGGTCAGCCCGCGGAGCTCCCGGGGGCTGGTCCCAGAGACCGGAGACGGAGACGGGAGGACGCCGGGTGGGCGGGACCGGCTGACCGAGGCTCACTGAGCCGGCTGACACTGAGCCAGTGGGGGCTCATTGAGCCACACTGGCGGCTCGGTGAGCTGGCTGTCCATCAGTTTACGGAGCGGCCAGCCGGCGGGACACTAGGCCGCCGAGTTAATGAGTTTGTGAGTGGTGAGGCACAGAGCTGGGCGCCCATTGTCAGAGTCGGAGCTGCAGCTGCTGTGTTATTTGATTTGTTATTGTGTGGTGTTATTTGATCTGACAGCTGGGGTGCGTCTTGCAGTGGTTAGGTCCTTGACAAGGAAAGTCTCATGCAAGCTATTGGAAGAGGAAACAAGTGGCAGCCGCTAGGAATATTTTTATTAAAAAGATGACCTTTGGTCTAATCCTTCAAGCTTAGTTAGATATGAGTCCGATTTTACAAGATGCTATTGCAATGGCGAACATTGTCCCACAACAATGCATTTCAGAAAAAGCGGTAAGGCCTTAATCCATGTCATATAGGTATCTAAGATCAAAAACGTTTTAAAATATTATTTAAACATCGCGTGTCTAATTCTACGTCCCTGGATCTGAGGACTGACCAAAAACAGAGCCCTCTACCGCACGGGCTGAGTTTCGTCCCCGACCACTGGGAAAACAAAGCTCTTCATTTCAAAGACCTCCTTTGAACCGTTTTAGTGTGTTTAATAGCGTTAGAGCGAGCCGAATTACTCAACGTACAAACACCCAAAAGTCTCTTTTATGTGTAATGAAGATAGGAAAGGAGAGAGCAAGTTCACTTAGCGTATATACGAGAAACTGCGAGCAACCGTTTTGACGAGGCTTTGCGTTCCACGGACTAGGGAATCTGCTCATCCCATGCCCTGCTCCGTTCTGCAGCTGTTTCTCAGCCCGACCGTTCGACGCATCCCACAGACCTCGTCTTAGACCCACCAGATCCCCTCTCCGATCCCTCACCCATCAGCCGGCCCACCCACTAAACCCCCAGATCCTCCCCTCGAGTGACCTCCCCTGCGAGTGCGGACCCTCCCACCCCGATACACCCCTATAACCATCCCCCGTCTGTGAGCTCACCTCTGCGGCGGGCGCCTTTCCGTCCGGCGCGGGGCTGGCGGCGCGTCGCCGGGACAGCCGCAGTGACAGCTGCCGCCGGACGGCCGTGCTCGGCCCCGGCACGGTCGGGATGTTACCGAGCACCAGGAACGAGCGGAACACCTCTGTGACGTTGGTGTTCCGCAGCGCCGAGCACTCCAGGAAGCGGCCCCTGCAGCGGACCGAGGCGGCCGGTCAGACTGGCGGACGGTCAGACTGGTGGGCAGACAGACAGACTGGCAGACTGGCAGACAGACAGACAGACAGACAGACAGACAGACGGTCAGACTGGCGGTCAGACTGGGACACTCAGACTGACTGGCGGGCAGACTGAGACAGACGGACAGACAGACAGACAGACAGACTGGCGGACAGACAGACGGACAGACTGGCGGGCGTGACGTCACGAGGAGCCTGCAGACTGAGCTGGCGCACTAAAGAATCCACCAATTTAGTGACGAGCCCGGGGTCATTTGTTGAAACAGTTTTGAAATCCTTTGTTTGTTTGTTTGAAGAAATAAGAGATGACTAAAAATCGATGTACAACTGCAATTTTGAGATAAAGAATAACGCAATGCACGTTGAAGCCCTTGGAAACAGTCACACGGATTGGAGTAATGGGATGGATGTCGTACCATTTGCGATAGAGCCACGATGCAGTTTCCCTGAAGGCCGTATCTTCACTTGTCAGAGCCCAGAGGCCCCAAAATATTCCAATTGACGTCTAAAGTTTAGCAACAATGACAATCGCGTGTGTTTAGCGTGTTCCTTGTCTGTTCCATTAGATAAAATTACCTAGTTTTAGGACGATGCAAAAGCATGACTAACTTGCTTAGCAACACACTAATCACATTTATGCGAGCTTGCTAGAAACAATGCATAGAGCGTCGCATTCGCACAAAGTATCATGTGAGAGGGAGAGAGGAGAGGAGAGGAGAGGAGAGAGAGAAAGAGAGAGAGAGAGAGAGAGAGAGAGAGAGAGAGAGAGAGAGAGAGAGAGAGAGAGAGAGAAGGCGAGAGGGAGAGAGAGAGAGAGAGAGAGGGGGAGAGAGAGAGAGAGAGAGAGAGAGAGAGAGAGAGAGAGAGAGAGAGAGAGAGAGAGAGAGAGAGAGAGAGAGAGAGAGAGAGAGAGAGAGAGAGAGAGAGAGAGAGAGAGAGAGAGAGGCGCCAATTGGACATTGTGCAACCTATAAAACGAGCCATAGTCGAAACGGTAAGCAGGTCAGAGCGGCGGAACTAAACTTTGAGTGACCTGCATTCACTGTAGCGCCAATAAAACGTCAATTCAATTGCAAGAGGTGGCAAACAGCTTTTGAACTTGTCAGCCAACTTGGCGCTTGTCGTGTTTTGTGTTTTCCAAGCGCTGTGTTTTACCCGGCATAACAAGCCACTGGCGCCTGCCAAGTTTGCAGAGTGTTTGCTATTCTGTCGATTGTTCCTGTTGCGTTCAACAAAACACTTATTTGTCACGGTTTAATTGGCGAGTTCTGCAGAGCTTTCTGCCGCCATTAGCCCTGATCAATGCTGGAGAGTTGGCCAAGGACAGACCATTCGGTAATCGAATGGGCGATTAGTTGAGTTAGACAAGGGAGTAGTCGGATCCGTGCTTGATTTTGAACCGCGAGTGGCGAAAGCATATCTAATGCAAGGAAATGATACGTTTACAACAGACTAGAAGATTACAAGATTAATTTATTGAAATGCTGCTGTATTAAAAACATTTCCAGCGAAGTTACTGGAACGTCGAAGTCTGTTGTTAGAGTTTAACAGTTATTACGATATCATAAAATCATTCTGAGAACAGGTTTGCCGAGCGAGCCTAACGAACCACGTCAATGGTTCGTCGAATCCCGTGTTGACCGGGCGAGACAACACCGGTCCTTCGGCGAACACTGGCCCCCTATCTCGAATGGCCGTCTCGTTACGATGGGTGCTAATCGTTTTACGATATACCGGTCACCGGCTCGATACGATAACGGACGAGCCGCGGGGTTAAATCACCTCCACTCGGTCTGAGGAGTGGGCGCCTCAGAGGGCCATGCTCCAGGGCTGATGCTGCTGTCTCGAGGTTCGATAGTATCCTGTCTCGTGCGATACGGCAGGTAACACCTCCACAGACGGCCGCTCAGCAGCGATCGGGGCGACTCTGCAGGCGCGGATTTCCGATCACTGCGCCGTTATCGTCTACACTCTACAGTCCGCCGCCCTCGGCCGCTCCGGCGGGCAGCCAAAGCAGCAGCAGTTGCTGAGCAACAGCGCACGTCGAGCGCCCTACAAAGCCATTTTTACGTCCATCGGTTAAATTGGACGGCTGACCTTTGCCATTTATAGAGTGATGGCGATTCACCTGGAGGGTCTTAGTAGTTAGAAGAACAAAAACTCGGAACCGGTCACTGACGTGAGGGGCGAGGATTAACCTTTGGTGCCTTTCAGCGAGCTGAAGGTCGCGCGGGAGTCGCAGCCTGTCATTACCCGCGACACACTGAACTAACAAGGCGGGTTCTCAGGAAACGAGCAAGACACGCACACGCTTTGGAACTGGCTGATCATTTCACGCACTATAACAGGACTTCCACCAACAAAAATAATAAACAAACGAATAAATTATTACATATGACCTATCACTAACAAAAACATAATGCACAAAATGCTAACTAGATATACAACTACAAAAAAGAAACAATGACAAGAAGTGTGCGGTGCTACAAAGTGGCAGAAGCAAGCACAAAATCTATAGGAAATGAGCACAAACTAAGCTAAATGAAAAGACACCCAGCTGACGACCCCCGGAGCCTCCGCTCGCTGTCCTCTGTCCCACCTTTCTGCGGACATTTTGGAGAAGAACCAGTTGGAGGCGGTGATGCTGTTCACCTGGCGCTCGTCGCCGGGTACGTCGCTCTTGTTGCCGGCCAGCAGGGTGGGCACCTCGCGGTAGTCGTCCCGCAGACGGCGGATCTCGCCGAAACAGTCGGCCGCCTGCAGCAGCGACGAGTGGCTGTCCACGCTAAACACCAGCAGAAACGCCTGCGCGTGCGCTATCGACACCCTGAGAGAGGAGAAATACAAACAGACGGTCAGGGCACACTATAGCGGACGGGTGCACTATCGACACCCTGAGGGGCGAGTAGTAGTACAAACAGACGGTCAGAGCGTAAATACTATGGGCAGGTGTAGGACGTAGGTGGGGTATGTGCGAGCAACAAATCAGCGGCTCAGACCAACACAAATCGGCATGCAGCTTGAAAGAGGTTCACTTTCTGAGCAAGGCTTCGACAAGTCAAATGTCAAAGGAGAAGAATTAAACGTCTCCGGAAGTGTGTTACCTGATGATAATATCAAATAAGAGACCCAATAATAACTGTTTTTATATCCATTGGGGAAACGTGGCTCAAAATGCATCCGGGATAAAACAACAACATTCTGCTTCGTTGTAAACAGAGCTACCTCACCAATATTGGCCACGATCAGTACTGGTTAGATGGCTTTAACGATGCTTGTGTATGCCATTAATCAAAAGGCCACTGCGCCGTTACGGGCCGATTCCATTAACCATAGCGGCTTCCAGCCTATTCTCGGGTGGCACCCCATTAAGCTGCCGTTAGCATGCCACGAATGACCCCACGAACTCTCTTGTCTGTAAATACCCGCGGAGTCAGGCTGCTCTAACTTTTAAACCCGTCTGGAGGGGCCGCTATCCGGTCCCAGACACAGCACGGTAGTAGCACACTGGTCCGGGACAATCACTGGCAGATATGTGTGCTGTTTCACAGGACTTCCCTGCGCCTTCCCCATCTCCCACAGACAGTTCCTGGCTGTGTTCCGAGAGAAACTGCGGGGATGTCCCGACTCTGCTTCTCGGTATGAATTGAGGACCAATCGGCATATTCACGACCAAGTTTGAATTGGACTCTTCATCCAGTCTCAGCACTAAGCATAAGTCAAGTGCTGCACTCAGAGGCGAGTGCGCCGCGCGCGATCTTTGTCGAGCGGCAAACCCGGCGCTGATTAGTATGACCGGTGGCGAACTGAACGCGGTAAAAATGGTCAGCGACAAACTTGGCGTGGCTGGATCCGGCTAGGGGCATATCTGGCGCGAAGCGACCTATCCTGAGGCGAATCTCGCGCGAAGGGCGTTCACCGGCGGCGAATCTGGCGCGAACGGCGCTCACCGGCGGCGAATCTGGCGCGAACGGTTCTGACCGGGGGCGAGCTGGGCGTCGCTGAGCTCAGCCCTAATCGATAGGGGCGGCTGGCCGGCCGGGGAGCGTTATAGCCTTTATCTGGTGGGCAGGAGCGTCTGGTTTATGAGCCCACTCCGATGAGAGAAGTGTTCAATTTCGGGCCGGTTCGGATCATGGCGACTTACACGCTGGGAGGCCGCGGAGGGGGGACTGGGGAGGACGGCGGGGCTGGGGTGTAGCGGAGACCGGGACGGGGAGTTGGGGACAGACTGTCCCCTGGGTCCCTCCGTGGTGACAGGACGGATGTGTTTGTTGGAGCATTGGTAGTCGCTGGGGACGAACTATGGGACCTGTGCTGACGGACCGTTTCCTTGGCTATGATCCTGCAATGTCTCGGAGAGCAGTTACTAGTTGCCCAACTCTCAGTTGAGATTAAGTACGCTCCATTTCTGGCTGACCTTTTGAAAGGTTAAATATTGCTCCAACGTTTACCGTAAGCTTCCTTTATTCGGTTATGGCAGTAGCACAGCTCAATGGCCGGTCTTCATTAACAGCGCTAGCGAACGTCTATCGTGCGTCCAGGAAGCCATATTACAGCCTCAATGTCATTGGCTATGTCGGAAACAAATGGTTACCCTAAACGCCGAGCAATGAGCAGGCAAAATGTTAAACAGTGCTGGCTGGGACTCAAAAAATTGCGTGGGTAAGATCGAGACCAATCAATTTGCAACCACGACTCATTGGCATTTGCCCAACGTGCGTGGGGTAGAAACGATGGGAAAATCATTTTATAACCGCAGTAATCACAGAAGAAACCCGGAAGAAGATCAGGACGAGGGGTTTAGCCGGATGTATCTATTTCCCCGTGTCGGACGCGCAACAATCGGTCTGTGTCGGGCTGCTGGCTTTGGACCGGATAGTGTCATCGCAGTTAGATATGTGAGCAGAATAAATTGATAGAGATATAGTAGAGAGCAGGCTTCCATAAAAACCCACTGCGAAAGAAAACATTGCGAAGATGTTAAGACCAGCAGTAAGGTAAAGTAGAAAATTTGAAGCTTGTCGAGGCCCGATCTCTCGACTATACATAGGTACCTGCTCGTCACCGAATGATCGGCATCTTACTGGAATGTGAAAGCAAAAATGCTTACACGTAGAACCCTATTGTATTAACTTCAAAACAACTAACTACCTAATCAGCCGTCGAATATCACATGCATGCAAGGACGTACAAGGAGGTAAAGTTCACCCCACGGTCCTCTGCCGTTTTATCTGCGTAAAAGCGCCCTCTCGCTGAAATGGCAGGCTACCAGCACATACGGGTACGCCCATATTTGCAGTTCAAGTGTTTGTCAGCGCAGAGCTGCTCACATTACACAGCCCTCCCAGTTGCAGAAAGGCAGCACTCGGCTGTATTGTGTTCCCGAGGCACTGTGTCACGAAGGGGAGTTTATTTAATAATAACCAAATATAAAATAGATTAGTAGAGCTAGCTAAGAGCGTCGGCTGCTGCTGCTGGCTCAGAAAAGGCCCTCCCCGAGAGGCTAATGCACAGAGCTGTAAGGCTGCTACCGGATCTTCATGGCGATAATGAGCGCTATATTTACATGGAGCCACTAACACACAAAGCACTTCACCAGCCGTATAATTTTGTTTGAATTTTGAACTTCAGTGGGCTGCAAGACCTAACAGGATGCGGAGGTGCACTTTGGCACCTGGCATCCATCATTTGACGAAAACTAACGTGCATTTTTAACTCGGCACGCTACGAAAACTTCATGAAGCATTATAAAGCATCCTGCGAGCAGTGTTTTGTGCTAGATAGACGTTAATCCGGCGTTCTTGAGTCTCATGACTAGAAATTGGCAGTTTGTAAGTTGAGAATTCCAGAGCGATGGCAAATAAATGAACTAGATTAGACGCAAACTAGATTCACTGCGAGCGTTGTATGTTTTATCGCCAGGGATTAGAGAATCGTTTTTCTTATAATTTTGCGAGATCCAAGCGACGACACAATCGTTGCCATCTACCCAATCCACTGCTCAGACATACGCTGAACCCGCTGAACATTTTAGCTCGCTCAATAGTCCATCAAATAACTACTATCACACCAGAACCAAACAGAAAAAGCACTACAATAGCCACAGAGCTAATAAAGATGTGTCCTCAATAGCATGACATATCGCAACAGAATCAATACGGCAACACTCTCTTTCATAACTTCGTTGACTTTAATTATCCTGGATTATGTTAAACGATCCTTACGTACCTGCTGTCTAGTGGTAAAAAATATGAGTCGAATATACGACATCCTTTGATCAGAATCAGAATCAGTTTTATTTGCTGACTTCATCTGTCATTGGGGTAACGCCCGTTGGTGATAAAGGAATAAATGAAATGAAATGAAATAAAAAACGGCGAAAACATATACATTATACATGCTGTGTCAGCTGTCCAAAATGTTGACGTAACGGACAAGACACCAAAAGAGGTTTTATCCTTTTGCCCTATCCTCCTGACCTGTAGCTTGTACTGACCTAGCATAGATCGACCTTGTATCACTTATGTTGACCCCTGCCCTGTTCGGTCACCTGCATTGACCTGCCATAACCTCCAGTATTCCTGTAATGACGTGACCTGCAGTGACCTGAAACTGTAGCAATTATCCTGCCGGCTCCACTGCAGGAATTCTATTCCCCTGTCGTCTGCACCTACCCTTGACCAGCCCGGTCATCTCACTGACCCTGCCCTGACCCGCGCTGACCGGCCACTGACTGACCTCCTCATGGCCGGGAAGCTGTTGTCGCCACACGTATCCAGTACGTCCAGTTCGAGCCGCGTGCCGCCCAGCTGGAAGGTGCGCGAGTACTGCTCCTCCAGGGTGGGCCGGTAGCGCGTCTCGAACTCCCCGTACAGGAAGCGGCGGCAGATGGACGTTTTGCCGACGCGCGGCCCGCCCAGCACCAGCAGCCGCACGTGGTGGGCCGAGTCGGAGGTCATGGCCGCGCTCACCGGGCCGGCGTCACGCGGCCATCTGAGACGGCGACCTGTCCAGGGAGGAGGGGGGGGGGGGTCATATCACGGATACTGTTAGTGTCGTGTGGAATTAAAGGGAGCCGCGGTCACACCACCCGTAGTGTCATCTATAAGTGACCCGAGGAAATAAAGAACGAGTTGTTACGGTACTATCAGTGATATTGCCGTCCATCAATGTTTTGTGGCAATGAAAGGATCAGTAAGCACCATCGGGTGCAAGTAAATGCATTATTCGGGCCTAGGAATTGAAAATGCAAACACATATAGGAGCTCCTCCGTCGAACTAAGCTAAAATGGATTAGCCGGTTGGCTGTTTGGTCAGCCAAGTGCACTTACACATTGCAAGTTGTCTTGCTTCGTGATTGAATTACCCGTAGTGCTCATAAGAAGTTTTAAACTATTCCTTTCATACACCAAGAATTAATATAATTTACATATTAACCCGGCACCGCCTGGGCTATTTCCGTACCCACATCAGCCTGGGGGGGGGGGGGGGGGGTCGGATCCGACCCCCCCCTGTTATCTCGAGAACCAATGGTCGTATCGAGCCCCGCGAGGCGGCGTTCGAAAGGTCTCTACGAGACCTTCCCAAAGCACTCTTAAGATTTTAAGATTGAGGTCAACTTTCGAGTCAAGGTCAGGTCAAAGGTCAAATTCAGGGGTTTTGCATGATTAGGCTTACGGACAGCGGAATCGATAGCTGCTGCTCGAAACTCACCACAAATGACCTCAAAGACCTAGTGAAGGTACCATGTGCGTATAGGGGTCATACTAAGTACGGGTCAAGGTCAGGTCAGGTCACGAAAGGTCACGGTTTTCACTTTCTGCTACATGGTCGTGCGACACATGTTTTATGGCTTATTTTTCACGCCAAATCCGATGGTAATGGTTATATGTGACCCCAAGTCACTGTGCTGGTGATAAGTGAGCATTGAAAGCATAAAAAAATCGTTTATACCATACATAACTAAACGAGGGCTAAGAAAAAGTCAATTTTTCAACTTTTTATTTTTGACATAAAAATGCACTTTTCTAGACGAGCTTTGTCCCAGGAATCTAGTGGTGCCATTTGTTTTCACATGCGATGTTCAGAAGTGCCTCTAATTCGCGAAAATGCTTATGACGTCACCATGCCCTATGCATGTTGGAGCTATTTTTTACAATTTGGGGGTCAAAAATCAAGATAGAAAGTTGAAATTTGGGACATCTATTGTTCAAATAGAGCTCTATAACATATATTCCGGTTTTTTGGAAATTCTCAAAATTTTGGATTTTATTAGCTGTTTTCCAAAAAATATTGTTTTTTGAATTTTTATAGGTGAAAAACGCATTTTATGGAAAATCCGAGATAGCCATTTTAAAGAACTCGTTAAGCTGCGTCTTTTCATGTCCTTAATTTGCAATTTGCTTAAAACCTCGATTTTTGGCGATTTTTTAAACATTTACCATTTTTTGACTGAAAACGCCATGTAGTTACATCACTAAAATCGATATAACTCAAAAATTTTTGAATTTTTTTTCTTAAAAATTGCACAGGAGACGTCAAATTGATGGGGGAGAAGGTATGCGAAGTTTCAAGTTGATAGCGCAAGCGGTTCATGAGTTATTTAAGTAAAACGGAGGGGGGGTCGGATCCGACCCCCCCCAGGCGGTCGCGGGTTAAAAGACAAATTAAAAGAAGATAATATTGTCCGGCGGGTGAAGTTACCGTTAATTTGCGACAGGGCACTGGGAAGGCCCGAGTGGCATTAGTAGAGACGCGCGCAGTGAGGTCATCAAACTAATTTCTCTCTCGGCAAGAATCATTAATTATCCTGTCATGATAGCAGGAACTAATTTGAACTCCACCGGACTCGAGCAATTCTGAGGCGGCTGTGATTTTCTAGAGGAAGACCCAGATATCTTGATATCATGGCCATGCCACTGTAAAGCTTCTTGATTAGTAAATGAGCTTGTTTAGCACCGAGAGCCCATGAGCTGCCGTGA